ATCAAGGTCAGGGTTGGCTGGCCAAACCCCCCTGCCATTCCCCCCTACAGCCCCATCTCCAATCAGCCCACCCCACCATGATAGGCCCACAGCCCCTCCCCCTGGCCGGCCCAGCCCCGGATCACACCCCCCACCCCAATAGGGGGCAGGGCCAGCTGGCCAACCTCCTGCAGCCCCTCCCCCCACCCAGCCCCACCCCAGATCAGCACCCCTACCCCAATAAGGGGCAGGGATGGCTGGCCAACCACCCATGTCTCCTCCCCCAGGCTGCTGGCTCCTGATTGGCACCCCCCACCACATTTGGGGGTGGGGCTGGCTGGCCCACCACCCAAAGCCCCTCCTCATGGCCTGCCCTGCCCCCAATCGGTCCCCCAACTCCAATCGGGGGCAGGGCACTCTGGCCAATCCCCCGTGGCTCCTCCCTCCAGCTGGACCCCACCCATGCACGAATTCGTGCACTGGGCCTCTAGTAAATATAGAACAGTGTATACCTGTGTCAGAGATCTCCAGAACTATCCTCCATCTGGATAATTCTCTGGAAGGATTCACAGAACCCAGTAACCTTTATATTCATGGTTATGGTTTATTGCAGCAAAAGTTACAGAGTAAAGGCAGCAATAGGAAAGGTACATGGAGTGAAGTTTGGAAGGAACCAGGCACAAGATCACAAAAGTCCTCTCCTCTCCCAGTTGAGTTCAACAGGAGGTACTTAATTTATCTAGTGATGTCATGTGATAGCACATGCAAAGTGTTGCCAACCAGGAAGTTCCCTAAACCCAGAATCCAGAGATTTTATTGGGGACAAGATACATAGAGTATGTGTGTGACTGATTTCAGTAACTAGTGGCAGTGGTGGTAATGAGGGGGAACAGTACTCAGACTTGCTATAATATGTTATCTAAAATGTTCAGTTTTCAACAACAGTTGTGAGACTTGTAAAGAAACAGGAAAATGTGACCCATTTATAGGAATAAATATAGCAATAGAAACTGCCTTTAAGGAAGGCAAGATGTTAGACTTAGCAGATAAAGACTACACAAAATATATTATAAATGTTAAAATAATTAAGGACAATTTGCTTAAAGAATAATAGGAAAATAATAGAATAATGACTCACCAAATAGAGAATATTAACACTCATATAAGGATGCATTCATTTATATACATTTCTACACATATTCATAGGGATACAAGTGGCCATTAATTTTGGAATGTATTTAAGTTGAAGGCATTGAAATGAGCATTTCATGGCTCAATAAATACCCTAATATCTCTTAAAAAGGAGTGTCCATAATCTATGGGTCTGTACAGTAGACGGCACCTAGTAATGATTAGTAGTACTCATAATTATACAAATAGAGCACTATAAATATTTATATATAGGGGGGTCTCACACACTTTGATTAATTATAAAGGCAGTGTTTATTAAAACATATTTCATTTTCAAAATTAAGCTATCAGCCTTTAATGCATACATACATTTTTGGGACACCCTGTATAACCATATATTATGTAGAAATGTATGTATTATCTGTGTACATATAATTTTGTGTTCATAAATAATATAAAACTTTTTTTGGTGTTGGATTTCTTTTTTTTATTTGTTTAAGGTATTACAAATAGTAGTACATATGTCTCCTTTTTTTCCCCATTGATCTCCCCATGGCCTCCCCTACCCCCCAGTACTTGCCCTCACCCCCACAGTGTCTTGCATCTACTGGTTGTGCTTACATGCATGCATAAAAGTCCTTCAGTTGATCTCTTACCCCACCCCAACCATACCCTACCTTCCCCCTGTAGTTTGACAGTCTGTTTGATGCTTCTTTGCCTCTATCTATTTTTGTTCAACAGTTTATAATGTTCTTTATATTCCACAAATGAGTGAGATCATGTGGTATTTTTCTTTCACTGACAAGCTTATTTCACTTAGCATAATGCTCTCCAGTTCCATCCATGCTATTGCAGCATGGTATTCCATTGTGTAGATGTACCACAGTTTTCCAATCCACTTATCTGCTGATGGACATTTAGGCTGTTTCCAAATCTTAGCTATTGTAAATTGGGCTGCTATGAACATAGGGGTGCATATATCCTTTCTGATTGGTGTTTCTGTTTTCTTGGGATATATTCCTAGAAGTGGTATTACTGAGTCAAAGGGCAGTTCCATTTTTAATTTTTTTAGGAAATGCCATACTGTTTTCCATAGTGGCTGCACCAGTCTGCATTCCCACCAACAGTGAAGGAGGGTTTCTTTTTCTCCGCATCCTCTCCAGCATTTGTCGTTTGTTGATTTGTTGATGATAGCCATTCTGACAGGTGTGAGATGGTACCTCATTATTGTTTTGATTTGCATCTCTTGAATGATTAGTGACTTTGAGCATGTTGTCATAGGTCTCTTGGCTTTCTGAATGTCCTCTTTCAAAAAGTGTTTATTTAGGTCCTTTGCCCATTTTTTGATTGGATTGTTTATCTTCCTTTTGTTAAGTTGTATGAGTTCCCTGTAAATGTTGGAGATTAAACCCTTATCAGAGATAACATTGGCAAATATGTTCTCCCATGCACTGGGCTTTCTTGTTGTTTTGTTGATGGTTTATTTTGCATAAATAATATAAAACTTTAAATAATTGTATCTATGTATGTATGTGTGTATATGCATGCACACACACACACATATATATGTATATATGTATATATGTATATATGTATACACACACACACACACACACACGGACTCCACACTCTACCAGAAAGCACTAAAGATGGGCTTTGGGTCCTTAGGAAATATGCTGTGTTCCTAGCATAGCTCTCTGACAATTTGTTAGAAAGGTTAAGTATACAGCCATGAGAATCAGACTGCCTGTGTTCAATTCCCACCTCTGCCATTAGTTAGCTGTGTGACCTGGCATCTATAAAACACAGTAGTAATATTGTTTTCTTCACAGTGCTCCTGTGAGGAGTAATTGTCTTCTAAATGCATGTAAAGTCCTAGACAGCACAAGGCAAACAGTTAGTGCTCAATAAATTTTAGCTATCATTATTGATCTTCTTGTGATTCTGCTTTTTCAGGAAATAAAACAGTTTTTTGTGTTTGTTTTTTCAAATCTGGAGCATGTGCGAAATTTAGATTATGCTTCTCACCTAAGAACCGAGCTTCATCATAACTTCTTTTATTGTGATGGTGTCTACAACTGTCACACCTTTATCTGGGATCTCCTTAGAGTTTTCAAATTGTAACGTACAGCTATTAGCATGTTGTGGGTATTAATGGAGTGATGACTGCTTCCCAGGAATGATCAGGTGCATTTATTTTGCCTTTAATGGACTTTTGTGTGTTATGTAAATAAGGTGGGGTTATGGTGATGGCACATACTATTTTGAGAACCTTCTATGTAATCTGCCTGGGCTCTTCCTGTTTTGATTCCACTTATGCATGAGGACAGAAGACGTTGGTCTCTTTTGTTCTCTTTTACGTCCTCAACACCTAAAAGAGTGCCTGGTACACAAATGAACACATTGTAGTTGCTCATAATCTAAAACCATTCATTTAATTTCCAGTATCTACCAAAGTCCGTTGATATTATTCCAATCTCAAACTACCCTTATAATTACTTATCAAAATATGCTGGATGCTTCTGTTAAATTGAATAATTTATTATCTGAGCATCCTCCTGTCTTTTATGTGTATAGAGGTGCTATTTTATCTACCTATTAAACCTAATGCCATTGCTTCTTTCATATAAACCCACCCATCTGCCAAGACCAGCTCAGACTCTCCCCATCTTCTCTCCTCACCTGCATGCCATAGCCTCTCTCTCCTAAAGGCCACTGTCATTGATATATCTTTCCTGTATCATTTAACATTTTTTATATTCTAGCACAGTTATTTGTGTCTTCCACATCTCTCTTCAGAACAGGAACTTTGTCACACTTTTGTGCTTGTAGGTAGATAGCAAGTATTTGGCAGCAGCAAATGTTTAATAAGGACTTACTCAATGCCTGATACTAAGTCCAGTGACAGATTGGCTCCATAGGAAAGTGAGTAAGTCTCTTTCTTTATTCTCTAAGAATGTTTGCTAAATGAGTGATTAAACAAATGAATGAGCACCATGCTGCTGCAGAACAGACCCTGGACTTAGTATTGGATCTTATTGGATCTACTGGGTTAAAATCCAGGCTGTGTGACTTGGAGATGATAACTTTCCCCTCTAAGAGCCTTGGTATCTTGTTTGAAAGTAGGAATAATAAATCCACATTGTAGCACTAATTGACATAACATATTGGGGGGCAGTGAAGGGAGCTTGTAGCCAAAGTGTTTAGATTACAGAAGGTATCTAATAAAAGTGAGTTTGTTTCTTCATTAAGAAGTGCTATTTGAATAACAGTAAAATGACTGGTTTTCAAGGGTGTCATTAGCTCAACTTTATCAATTTTCTTTGAATGGACCAAGCAAATTTTTTTCTTTTCATGAGTTTATTGAGATGGAAGCATATTCTTATACTGTCTAGCCACTAGGGATGTTAGGGGGCCAGGCTGTGTTCCTGCTCTTTCCTTCTTCTAGAAGTTCTCCGGTAAATTATCTGTTTGCTGTCGTGGTTATAAACAGCTACTCTCCTCTTATTCCACATTAAATACTTACAGGAGTCTAAGTTTTGTTTAATGTACTTTATTTTATCTACAGCATACAGAACTATACTTACTACAATTTGTGGGGACACTTTCACTTTTGCAAAATGCCTTCATATCCATTATTTCATTCAGTACCCGTGACAAATCTGTGAGCTTAGTAGGGCAGGGACCAGTGCCATCAAGCCTTTTCCAAATGAGGTCATAGAATCTCAGAGTTTAAGTGGTCTACTGAAGGTCACGTAGCTTAGAAGTGGCAATGGAGGTCTAGCAACCTGCCTACAGATTTACTGTCCTCTCCATCCTGCTTTGCTTATGCTGAAAGCAAGGGGAAACTCACCTTTTCATCCTAACCATCTCTTCCTTCTTCTTTGCAGAGGCTTCCATCTTGAGCTACGATGGCAGCATGTACATGAAGATCATCATGCCCATGGTCATGCACACCGAGGCTGAGGACGTGTCCTTCCGCTTCATGTCCCAGCGTGCGTATGGGCTGCTGGTGGCCACAACCTCTAGGGACTCTGCTGACACCCTGCGTTTGGAGCTGGATGGGGGACGTGTCAAGCTCATGGTTAACTTAGGTATCGTATGAAGTACCCTCTGCCACTCTGTTTGGGCTTGTCTTCCCTTTCTTTTCTGATTTTCATTGATTTGATTGAATTCTTTGTTTGTTTCTTGAAAGTTAGCTGCTCACTTCTTGTTTAATAGACCAAGGATAAAATCCAACAGCAACAAACACCTTTTCCTTGTTTCTGCATGAGGTTTTGATGTCAATTTCTGGTTTCTGAAAATAGTGGTGGTTTTATTTTTCTTTCTTTCTTTTTATTTTTTTTATTTTTACTAGATTATTTGTTTTCTAAGTTTCCTTTCTTGGTTTTATGGAACTGTTTAGCTTTGTGTAAAACACGCTACTTTGGTCCATCTTTTGATCAATCACGTTCTCATTAAGTCCAACTCCTTGGTCACCACTCAAAACAGTCAAAGCTGAGGGCAGGGATAGGGCAGGAAATGGAGGCAAAATGGGAGGGTGGGGTTGGAGAGAACTAAGCTATGTGCATAGGATGATAAATGCATCGTTTCTACCTCCAGAGTGACTATTCAGATGGAGAATTCTGGTGGCCGTGATGACACTAGTATCGCCTTATGCTTTCTCCTAGTAGAGAACTCAAGTCAAGTTCTTTCCATTGTCCTATTGGGGAAATAATCCCATATGTTTGGAGTCTCTGACATGTGGAAGGAGAATGTTGCTTCTGATATGTATCCCTATCTTCCTTCCAGATATTCTAATCCAACGTTCAGCAGTAATTTTTATAAAAAGTGTTACCTTACACTGTTACTCACCAATTACTCTGATCTCCTCAGATAATACATACCCATTTTTTCTTAATATTGAAAAATTGTCATAATATCAAATTTATAGCCTTATTTGGAGATGATCTGTTCCACTTAGAACAGATACTTTTCAGATTCCCCTGCTATGGCCTCACTTTCTCTCCTGCTTCTATCTTCTTGACTGACCTTCTATGGAGAATTGGATCTCTGGATTTTTGAAGAAAAAAACAACAACCCTTTATTGCTGCTGATTCTACTCAGTAGAAACTTCATGCCGTGTTGACAGGATTAGTACTAGAGCTGAGCCCAGACCTTCTGAGCCTGGATTTGTTTGGGTATGTAGAATATGTTTGGGTCCAGAGCTCCTTTAAAAATACTTCAGCAGAATGGCTTGTGAGAGGCATGGAGAAGACATGGTAGACGAATGTATATGATGCAAGACCGTATAAAACCTTAGATGCCTGATGGAAAGGGGGTTTTGAATTCATACCAGTCAGGTCAACTGGCCACACTTGGAAGATGCCTACGCTACAATCGAAAAACCTCTAGGACACAGATGACTGTTTTGAGCAGTGGCTTGTTTAGTTATGTCTTTTTATTTCTTCCAATGTGCAGCTGTTACAAACTATGCCTTTCTCCTTGTCCAACCTCATTTGATTTCAGTGTGTCTCTTGGTTTTTCTTTTGTTTGTGTCCATGTGTGTTTGTTTATTTTGTTTCCTCTTTTGCTGGATCTTGGTTGTGTTCTTGAGTTTCCAATCCTCCCCACCATCAGCCATGGTAAATCAAAAGATGGTATTCAACCCTTCAAAGGCCCAAAGCCTGCGGCCCGCATAGCAAACAGCCTTGAGAACAGAGCGTACTGAGCAGCCTGCAGGGGCTGGCATACCCCTGTCCCTTTCACCCTCCTTTCCCATCCTCCCTACCTTCTACAAACCAGTAGAGTGTATTACCTAAAACCAACAACCATTACAGATTGTTTACTCTGAATGACAGCAAAATAAATTAAAAACAACAACAACAACAACTAACAAAACCACACAAACTAAAAAAATAAATACATAAACCAAATATAACCTTCAAATAGTTCATGGAAAAACACAATGGAGAACATTTTAATTCTGCACTTATTTCAAATAAGAGAGGGCCGTAGATATAAGAATGATTCAGCCCCATGGGGCTCTGGGGAAATGCACATTGGCCTTTAAACCAACATTTTTTTTCTTTTTAAATGTTGTTTTGTAAATATTAGAAGGCCAACTACGATGGGTCTCATGCATTAGAATGAAGAGTGGGAGGTGGGAGTAGATAATAGGGGATGAGGAAGGAGATGGACAGATTCTTTTTCTCTCTTACACACACACACACACACACACAATTAGTCATAGAGCCCATGTGTATTCCTAGAAGCATTATTTTTCTATTTTAAACTCTCACTAAAATCTGGGAGTTATGCTTTTCGGACAGACTTTGCTCTTGCCTCTTGGCTCCTTTAGGCACAGGGTCAAGTCTAGCTCCTTCTAAGTTGAGACCTAGTACTTAAAAGAGAGTCAGCCCCTCCCTAGAGAGCACTGTGCTTCTCCTAAAGCAATGGCGACTGCTTTCTTCTCTGAAGGGGATGGTTTACCACAGTGACTGGTTTGAATTTATTTAACTTTCTTTCAAACCTAACAAAAAAAACTGACCTTACATTTCTTGAATTTGTCTATATACAACTCTTCATATTCATGCTTGGTTTGAAGATTATTCTACCCCCTCCCCAAAATATCCCCTTCATAGATGTTCTCTTTCTCATGAACTCATGTTGCCCTTTGCTTGGTTATAGAATACATCTTCAAGCAGAGTTTGCACCCTCAATCATTCCCTAAGAACTGCAAATGATTGCTTCCTTCCCTCACTCCATTTAAACTGTGGCTCTGTTTGAGCACAGATGCAAGTGATATTGCAATTTATTTAAAATTGTCCATACATCTAAGCTACATAAAAGTCTAGTATATCTCTAATGGAATATATTTTCTAATGTCAAAGTGAGTAGACTTTTCTAAGGGCATTATTTTCTGAAGCTAGGCAGTGTGGTAGTAGTAGCCATGAGAAGTGTCCTACAACACTCAGCACATTTTTAAAAGTTGTTAGCTATTGATCAATTATATTTTGATACCTTAAAACTAAAATATATATTAAAACAATTTTATTATTACAATATATTTCAATATTCCAAAAAACCTTGTAATGTTTTAACTTTTTAAATTTTTTTTATTGATTTCAGAAAGAGGAAGGGAGAGGGAGAGATAGAAACATCAATGATGAGAAAGAATCATTGATTTGCTGCCTCTTGCATGCCCCTTACTAGTAATCGAGCCTGAAACCCTGGCATGTGCCCTGATCAGGAATTGAACTGTGACCTCCTGGTTCATGGGTTGAAGCTCAACCATTAATCCATACTGGCCGGGAAAACCTTGTCTTATTTTAATTTCACAATAACCTTTTGAAATAAATCAAGAAAGCATTTTTGTGCTTAGTTTTATAAATGTGAAACAAATAAATATATAACTGTTCAAAGATCACATCAAATGTTGTTAGCAGACCTGGGACTAGAACCTGTTTCTACACTGCTAGACCAGCATGGGTTTTCTGTTACCTCAACAGATCAATACTGTGGATCAATGATAGGACAGTCTTAATGACATCTAATGGCTTTTTATGATGGCCACCCTTTAAAAATGCATACAGGGATCTCTTTATTTCCTAGTAGCTGGCTTAAATTGAGCCAAACAGAAAAAAAACAAACACAAAAAAACAAACAAACAAAAAAACCCCAGCAACAATCAATATTGGTGCAGCCTCTTTCGTGGTCCTTTGGAATCCTCAGCAGAGTGCTGGGAATACTTTTTCAGTGGTGGAGGCTCTTAGGGAATGTGATGCAGTTTGGTTAATTGCATTCAAATTCTCCAGATGTTCTCTCTCTGGAAACTGGACTTGCTGACTACAGTTTTCTATATGCATCATCGAAGACATACAACTCCTAGGAACATTCATCTATTCCATGCTCAACCAAAACTTTTCAGTATAGAAAATGATTATTTCTCCTCATTTACTAAAATAAAATGAAAAACTAAATTAAACAAAATGAGCAACACACACACACACACACACACACACCACTCAAACACCATGTCAAGGCTAAGTTAGAGAGAGAACTTTGCTACTAAAGAAAGATCTAAAGGAAATTGTCTTCCCAAGAGAATTTCCCTGATTCATTTTTCATTAAAAATACATCCTTGCTATTAAGGCCACCCTATCAGAGTCTATGAACAAGGGGCTGTGATAGCTTTTTCTACTCAAACCACTTTTTCTTTAGGTAAAGTAACACAATAATTCTTCACTTCTTGACTTTAAATAACCAATTGCCTGCCATCTTGAAAGCTCCAAGTCCTCACATCGGTTTAAAGACACGGTCAGTTCAGGGAACCATTTGGGTGAACCTAGAAGGATGAGCCCAACCCAACTTCCCTCTCTAGACCATGTAGTCTAAGAATAAAATACTCAGCTACACAGAAAAAATAAAGGAGAAAATCACTCCTTGTTTATAATTCTTGGGTTTGTTGCTTTAGGCCCACTCCCTCTCCCTCTCTCTTTAGCATGCCCATACACCTGTTTCCATTCTCTCCTTAATACATCAAGAAGGGGCATTTATGGCTTTGGGTGATGGTCAGAGCAACCAGTAGCTGAAGCCTCACCCTTTCCTCCCTACCTGCCCTCTCCCTTCCCAGTCTTCACCAGGGTCATGGCCTCCTCTGCCTGGTGATCGTACCAGTTGCTCCAGGGCTGTTTGCTCCCACTTTTCTGTTGCGGTTGACGACACATGACAAACCTAACCGCACGAAACCAAACCCAGATTTTTCTCAACAGATGTTCTGACCAACAAATAAGCTTCCAGCCTCCCTCTTCAGAATGATTGGGTGTTAGAAATTGCTCCTGCTTGAATTTCACACAGTTTCATTCTTCCCTGTCCTTTGCCACTGTCTTCTTTTTAACTTGCTCCCTTAAAATGGTTTGAGAAATTCACATGGTGGCATAATCCTCAACAAGTCCTCTATAATTATTGGGTCAACCTTCAGCAGGAGAAGAGCACCTTTTCTAACTGTAGTTTTCCCTTTAACTTTCTTCCTTTCTTTGTCATGTTACTTCTACCTTTAAATATATGATTTTAAACAAATTATTATTGGAATTCCACTATCATAAACCAAACTTAGTTTCAGCTGGGCAGCTTGGTAACAATTAACCTGAGATATTTCTGTAACAATCCTGCCCGGTCCCCTGCTAATATCCATTGACTCCACTCAAGACCTCTGATGCTGTGAGTCCATGACTCTAAACATATATTAATAAAAGGATAGATTCTCTGAACTCTGGTATGGAAGACCTTGTCTGATTACCAGCAATGCAAAATTAGCCACTCCTTTCCCCACTGGATTTCCCATTAAAAAAAACACAAACAAACATAAAAGCAAAGACTTTTCTCTCTTTAAGATACAGAATCACAGAGTGAAATAGGTAGAATGTCAAAGGTGTCCAAGGCCTCCTCCCCATGTACCTGTCTTGCCTTCTCCTTGAATGCTGTAGGCACTTGATTCAGTCTGAGCATTCGGGCAGGAAGACAGAGATAGGCTTCATGAGTGGGTTGGTCTGGGAACCTTTGAAACCAGAGCAGTCAATTGTGATAACATCATTCAGCTCATTTTCCCCTATACCCAACCCACTTCTCTAAAATCTGGGATGGGTGTTTGTGCGGTTAGTGGTTTGCAAGTGGCCATTTTATGACAGGAAATGACCAGGTGGTGTTAACCCTTTCCTTAACTCTAAGGGTATTGGCAAGTCTGCCTTTGAAAAATTTTGTAGCATTTGGGGCCTGACCTAAGGAGAGGGTGGAGGGAATTTGCTTTTAGAAAAAGAGAAAGGGTTAAATACTGCACTGAGAAACTTCATGGACTGATTTTTAAAAATGATACAAAGTGTCAGATTGGCAATATATCTTTGGAATACTAATACAAAAATTGTGTTGATGCTACTTTTTAGATAAATTTTTAAAAAATCAATTGTAGATGGACATAGCATATAGCCTGCATTTGGTGGGGAAATTTTTGAGTAATTTTCCAAGTTTAACAAAATTAATATTTTAAAGTCCAGGTTTAAAATACTTTATCTTAATAAAAGAATAGGATTGGGGGGAAACACATACTCGATGTCTATTGTGGATATATATGTATACCAGTATATATCTCTATACATATGTGTATATATATATGTGTGTGTGTGTATATATATATGTATCCAACTTTACTAAATAATATACTGTACATATACACCCACCCTTAAACTTGTGCATACTGTATTTATATAAAATGGCCACATTTCTTGCGTGTGTCTGTCCCCGGAAGGGTGGACTGATTGTTTTTGGATGTCTGCAGCTGTTACCTTGAAGGATGCAATTTCATCTTTCATTTATTTTTCCCCATCTAGACTGTATCAGGATAAACTGTAACTCCAGTAAGTTTTCCCTCAAGTTTCATTTTGTTCTTTAAAAAAGCAAAGAAAAACTGACTTTATTTTGTTTACTGTTTTATGAGCTGTTTTTTATTTGAATTATTTTATTTTTTGGCTATGGAATGGGGGGAACTGGGGTGATGGCAAGGGCCGTGGGTGTGGTTTCTGAATTGGGTCAGGTCCTGTCTTCTTTCCTTGCATTTGCTCTATATGCAGAAAAGGAGGAAAGGGCACCTGATAATGAAATAACTTGAAAAAGAATTGAAATGGTAATTTGTTGTTCAGGGAGAAAAAACCCTGGAGTGTGTGTGTGGGGGTCATACAAAAAGCCTTAGAGCAACCAGAATGCACTTCTCCACTACAAAAAGCTTCAGAAAATAAAAGCAAAGTTCATGACCCAGAAGGTGGCTGCCAACTCTGACATTTCTTTTCTGGCATTTATCACTGTAGGGTTTTTGTTTGTTTGTTTGTTTTACTTTAGGTTTTGTGTCTGCTCTATAGGAGGATGGGAAAAACATAGTTCTGAGTGATAATGCAACATTTTAACTGAAGGCTTGAGACACATTCTGGCTCTTCAGAATGAAGAATTGCAGCCTATTATTTTTACTTTATCCCATTCAAACAGTTCAGTTCTTGAAAAAGGGTCATGATATAGTGAAGGCTGAATACTGTTCATGCATTTCTGCCTCTGCCTAGAAATGAACAGTAACTGGAGTCAATGAAGTAGGGGAATAGGAAGAGAAAGAGAAAGATGAGTACGAGGGAAAGGATAGGCCTAGATGATAAAAGGAAGAAATGAATATGCTTTGAGTCCTATAACATATTAGTTACAGTAGTTAAATAACTTACTAACTAGGGTAATTAGAGTGATGAGCTGTAACAAACATCCCAAAATTTCAATGGTTCAACAAAAGAACGTTTATTTCTTATTCAGGCAAAGTCCAATGCAAATTGGGGAGGTCTTCTGGTCAGCTTTCTTCAAAGAAATAATTCTTTTATGACCTGGGCCCACCACGTTGGAGATCTTTACTTCCAGTTGCATCCATAGGGAAGAGTGATCTTCGATGGTTATGCAGTATGTCATATTGCCTTACCTAGAAGTGAAGTACATCAGTTCTGCACATATTTTATTTGTCAGACATGACTTCTTCCTAAATGCAAAGGAAGCTGGGAAATGTAGTCTTCCTGTTGTCCCAGGAGGAGAAAATTGGATTGGTTGAGAATTTACCACACATAAGTCTCAGCATCATCTCTACATTGTTTGCTTCTTTCTGTGCTTGGGTCTTTCTATAAGGAAAAAACTCAGTAAAGGAAATAACTCAACTTCTACATTTCATTTACTTGTATATTCCATCGAATGAAATATTTTACAAGTGCTAACTAGTTTAACCTTTCTTGGGAGATGTATTTTCAGGATGACAAAGTAATAAATCCATATCCACTTTTTTTCTTTTGCAAATGTTCCATATAAATTAACAAAAATGAAGAAATGTAAAAAAGAATCTAGGTAAGCAAACACTTCCTAAAGCCGAGTGCTTTATGCTTGTTTTGCTGTCACTTTCAGTTAAATTAATCAATGCCCTTTTTTGCTGTTTTTAAAATATTTCTAATTAGCCAGACATTCTTCATGGTATTTAGATCATTAAAAGCCTAATTGAAACATTCTTTTTCTCCAAAGACTTTTGGAGAATTTTCTCTTTCTTAAAGCAGCTTTATTGAGGTATGATTTTCATACCATAAAATTCATCAATTACAAACCTACAATTCAATGACTTTTATTACATTTATAGAGTTGTCCAACATCACCATGATAGCATTTTTAGAACATTTTTATAGTTCCCCTCAAATCTCCCTTAAGTCAATTTGAAGCTAATCCCTACTTCTACCCTTAGCCTTTGACAATTATAGAACTGCTTTTGTATTTATAAATTTGCCTTTTCTAAACACTTCATATAAATGGAATATTATAATATGTAGTCATTTGTGTCTGGCTTCTTAAAAACTATAGCATATCTACAGCAAGCGTTCTCTTTTCCTTTTGCATTAGTTTCCAGAAGGAAATAAGCTGGGAGGGGAGCATGAAGGTAAAATAAACCCATCCAATGTTGAATCTGACATCTGGCTTCAGAGACTTATATGCAGAATAGACAACTGAGGGAGTTATTTGATCAGGATATTAGGTCTTGGTTTTGTGCTTTAGCCACACTTTATCTTGCAATTATTCTACAGATTCCATCAGATCAGCCATGGAAATCATCATTAGACAAGTTCCAGTGTTCTTTCTCCTGGGGAGATAGTGATTCTTCTCTAGAACACAGATACCAGCATCTGGACCTGAATTTTCTATTCAGAGCCACCAAAGGCAGCCCTGGGAGGAACTATGTCAGCAAAGATGTATTCCCAACTTTGATGACAGTGTAGAAAGAGTATAACTGATGTTAATGCAATATTTAGGTAAAGAGCTGAGATTGGACTTTGAAAATCAATATTGAATTCTAATTATAAACCTTTAACATTCTTAGGAATGTTTCTGTTTCTGAAAGCATCAGGGAACGAATCCATAGTGTCCACTGTTTGAGTGGTTGAATAGAAATGAAACAAAATGAGACATGAGTCCTTTAAACTAATGTAAGACCTTTAATGTTGAGGTATGTACATATAACCAGGGTCATATTGTAGAGTCACAAAGTAAAGGATACATGTTCTTGAAGTCAATTTTAATTGTTGATTTGGACTGAAAACTTGAATTGAAACCAAAGTGACATAGTATACAGAAGAATGCAAATAAGCATGAATCTCATTTAATTTGTATTTTAAGAGGAAATGTAAAAATTCAGATATTCTTTTTATTGTGTATCCCTGCCATTATTTGCACTTGAGTGGAAAAGTTTGAGAGAACTATGCAACTAAATTATAAGAGAAAACAGGTACAGGTGATTAGAACTCTTAATTCTCTTCTCATGGACTCATTAGAATTCATAGTTCAACCTGTTACAGAATCTCAAGTTGTTTATAAGAGGTATGCAGACCATTCCTCGTATGCCATGTTTTATTGTGAGAGTTCAAGAAATAAGATCGCTTCACAGCCTAAATTTGAGTGGGAGAGGATTTTCTCTTACCCTCGACTTTGTCTCCAGTTGTCCTTTTATTAGAAGTCACAGGGTGTTATAGCTCACGTTTTACAGCAGAGCTGCTTTTTCCCTGGAAGGGACATACTGAATTAAGCTTTAACCAAGTTTGAATATAGGTTCATGAACTTTTCCAGTAATTTTTTTTGAATGCCTGTCCTCCAGAAAGTCAGGTAAAACACTGAATGACATCATCTGTTTTTCCCCTGTTTATCTGCTGCAAAATGCTGTTTGTTCATGGAAATGGCTGTGTTTCAAGAGTTTGTGTGCCAGTCTTTTTTAATGGAGAGAAGAGCATGGGAAAGAAGGATGATGTTATAGAATGAAGAGTAAGCAATTGGCCATGACAGAGGGCAGCAGCCTTGAGACAAAAGCCTCCTCCGTTGACTTTGTGGGCTGGCCCTGTCTGTGACTACGGCCCAGCTATGTGCCCACTAAGGCTTTCCAAGCAGCAGAAACACTTTTCTAATCAGCTTCTTGGCTTTCTCCCTTCTTTTTTCCCCATACTTTGTCTTTCTCCATAATATCTATGATATACTTATTATTATTCATTCCAAATCTCACTACCGCTGCTTACCAAATCCTCCAGGCATACCACACTATATATTCTTCTCTGGCTACTAACACCAAACATATATTAGAAGTGTGCAAATTGAGGTCTTTGGTTGAATCAGGGATGTTGTTGGATTTGATTCCTCTGGTAAGAATATTTAGAAATGTGTAATAGGAAATTTCCAGCTTAGAACTTTTAAATGGCAAGAGAGCAGCAGAGTTGGCAGTCACCATGGTGATTGAACTCCAGGGAGACCTGGGACACTGCTAAAGAAAACAGGGCTGCTTTCTGGAGAGTTTCTGGAGGATGTCACCTGTTCCTTTGGTTCTGAGGCGGGCAGTACCCTAGGAGGCATGCAATTCTGAAAACAGGTATGAACTTCTTGTTGGTCTCATGGGTGTTTGCATAAGTGAAAGTCTGTAAAATGGTTTGTTTTCTCTTCCCTTGTCTGACTGTGACCCTGCCCCGTGATTTTCTAGCCCCTACTTTATTCTATCCCTTTCAAGCTGTGTAAAGTATGGTTTGAATGAGTACAGTGAACTCATATTACTTAAATGAGTATAGCATGAATGAATATAATGAACACATATTAATGAATATCAATTTCCCCTTTTTTCACAATCTTTCCATACTCTCAATGATTAATTCCTCCGTGTATGGCCATTTTCTCAATCTTACAAAAACAAAACAAAAAAAAACAGGGTGTATATATCACATGGAAATTGTGAGTTTGTGTTTATTTCCAACTATTTTAGGGATATGTAGAACATCCTTAATTACTTTGAACTTGAAGCCTTCCTAATTTATCTGTGACAAGGTTCTTTGTTTTTTCTTCTTAGACATAGAGGAGAAAGGAAATAGAGTGTCATACAAAAATAAAATAAAATACTGACCTTAACACTTAACATTCTCAAGTGCCACCATGTAGTCATTTGTGTCTGAAAACAGCTTTGGTAATCTTGTCCACTTCCTATAGACTCTATTATCTTTGAATCACTTTAGAGACACATAATAATATGAGCTATATGAAACTAACATCAAATAATATGATTTCTCACATCATACCTCTCAAGACTACCTGTATGTACTAAATAATCCTTCTCTTGCACTTGTTTACCTAGTATCTAGTTTTACCTTAGCTTTTCTTTCTTTAGTTTCTTAGCATGCTCAATTTCCAGTGTTTTGGCAAAGTCAGCATCATGGGGTGGGGGGTTCTTGTTGAATTTAGGAATAGCTTGATGAACTGCAGTTTACTTACTACACTAGAATTTTGGTTTCTTCTTTGTCTTTTTCTCCATCATCCATCTCTATGATACCAGAAT